CATAGTTTGCAAAGAAAAAATTGGCACCTGAGAATCTTTTTGGACAAAATCTATCTCACACATCTACTAATCAATAATATTCCTGTGCCCACATATCCTGATGGCAGTTAGGTATTTGTTGTTTAACCAAAGGCTTCTTATCAATTTTGCACGCAGAGAAACTTCCTGCATTCACCTCCCTTTTCCAGGACCTGGGCCAGAGTCTAGCATTGCCCTGCAATCAGTGACTTCCTTCCATGTGCTTGGGTCAGGCCCAGGTGGATTTGGTGCAAACAGTGGCTCACTTGAAGCCCTTGGCCTGCTCACCAAATTCAGCAGCAGCTTTGTAAAAGTCAATCTCACTCACCAAACATATTAAATATGACTTCTTAAACACTCTTTTAAAAACAGAAGCAGTTAGGTCCTAAGGGAGGTGGGAAAGGTGTGTGTCTCAACTCATTTTAAAATGACTTTATAGCTGCACTATCCAATATGATAGCCACTAGTCACATAATAGTGACTGGCTAACATATTGGAGAGGACAGATGAGAACATTTTTTTTTTTTGAGACAGAGTCTTGCTCTGTTGCCAGGCTGGAGCACAGTGGCGCAGTCTCGGCTCACTGCAACCTCTGCCTCCCGGGTTCAAGCGATTCTTCTGCCTCAGCCTCCCAAGTAGCTGGGACTACAGGCACATGCCAAACGCCTGGCTAATTTTTGTATTTTTAGTAGAGACGGGGTTTCACCATGTTGGCCAGCATGGTCTTGATCTCTTAGCCTTGTGGTCCACCCACCTCGGCCGATGGAGAACATTTCTATCATCATAGAAATTTCTCTTGGCCAATACTGCTCTACAGAATCCTGACAGGGGAGCCATGGGGCAGGCACTGACCAAGGTATGGGCTTGCCAGGAATTGCCATTTCTAATGCATTAGCTGTATTAATCTGTTCAGATTCAGTTGACCTGGTTCTGGAAAGCAGTTGTATAGAGGAAAAGAAACAGGAAGCCATTTTTTTAAACAAACATTGATAGAAATATTCTCAAGGGAGAGTCAAGAGAAGAGAAGCTGCCACCCCGGCATCTCTTCAGGAATTCATCATGGCAAAAGCATCATTGGGCAGCACCACCCATAATGCATCTTGCCAATAAAGTTGAACCGGAATCTAATCAAGTCTTTAGCGCTAACTTCCATTTAGCACTAGAAAGCAAGAGTGAATGATGCCATGAAGCTTAATGATACCACGAAGAAGCAAAAAGCCGAACACATGATATGAGCCATTCTATAGGGCAAAAGACCTGGCTTTTCAGTAAATCAGTGGCAGGGAATAAAATTAAGGGCGGAGACTGCTCTAGATAACAGACAGAACAATCGAATTTGGTTTGAGAACTTTGTGCAGATATCAATTTGAACAACATGATTTTAAATATTTTTTTGAATGAGTTGGGAATATTTCATTACACAGACTGGATAATAAGTGATCCTAAAGAATTACTGATCATTTTGTTAGCTGTGATCATGGCAGTATGGTTACAGTTATTTAAGAAAATGACTGTAGTTCTTGAGAGAGGCATAGCAAAATATGTTGAGGTGAAACGACATTGTATCTGTGGGGTTTGCTTTAAAATAAGAGCATAAATAAAAACATACTTTACACCCCCATTCATCCATTTTATGTAAATTAGGAGCTGCATGGCAGTGTTTACTGGGGGCTTATTTTATTTTAGTTACTCCTGGAGCATCACTGATACAGATGGTGGCACCTGGAAAGATCTAATTGGGTGCAACATTGATTTATTTATTTGGTACCTTGGAAAAGAAGCACCAGTATTTGCTCTAGAACTCTGAATTATGGCAAGGAAGCCTTTCTTTTCTTTTCTTGCCTTTCTTTTCTTTTCTTTCTTTCATTCATCTTTTAAAAAATTATTGAAGAGTGAAGCACCAGTATTCTCTCTAGAACTCTGAATTATGGCAAGAAATCTTGCCTTCCCCCCCTTCCTTTCTTCCTTCCTTCCTCCCTCTCTCTCTCTTTCTTTCTTTTCTTTCTTCCTTCCTGTCTCGCCTCTCTCTGTCTCTCTTTATTTCTTTCTTTCATCAAAGAGTTCTGTGGTCCAGGGTTTTACCAATCAGTTTCCTAAAAAAGCCACTTAGTGTGGTTTTCACTGAGGCTTGTCCTGATACCCATATACACTGGGTTTAAATTAGTATGTTTCATCAATGGTGGAAGTTGGACCTCTCTAGAAGGCAATTTGGTATGATCTATCAAAATTACAAAGCACATACCCTTGGACCCTGTAGCCCCTCATATATATATGTGAAATGATATATATTCATTGTAGACTTATCATACGATAAGTCTAAATACTGACAAGAATATGGAAAAAAACAGAAATGCATGATATTCATGTTAGGAATGCAAAAATGTTGCAGCCAACTTGTAAAGCAGGTTTGCAATTTCTTATACAGCGACCCATCCATTACCACATGACCCAGCAGTTCCACAAATATGTATTTATCCAAAGGAAATTGTTCAACACACATCTATGAGTGAGAACACGTGGTGTTTGATTTTCTGTTCTTGTGTCAGTCTGCTGAAATGGGGGGGGGAACAGCAGGGGGTAGGGAGTTGGGGAGAGTTAGCATGGGGAGAAATGACAGATATAGGTGATGGGGAGGAAGGCAGCAAATCACACTGCCCTGTGTGTACCTATGCAACAATCTTGCATGTTCTTTACATGTACCCCAAAACCTAAAATGCAATAAAAATAAATAAATAAATAAAAATTTTTTAAAAAGAAAGAAAAAAAATGTAAGACCACACTTGTAAACAGTTATATAGTGGCTTCATGAATAACAAACCGTAACTGGAGTAATCCTCATGTCTGTCAACTGCAGAATAGAGAAACCAGTGAATAAATTGGGATTCCAGCAATACTCGGCAGCTGCTCAGCAGCAGAAATGAATGAATGGCATCATCCCAAACATTGTGAAGCTAATAGAGAGATCAAAAAAGGACTGCATAACGTATGATTGCATGTCCATGAAATTCTAGAAATTTCACTATTGCAGTAACAGAAAGCAGGGTGGTGGCTGAGTGAAGGGAAGAGGTGAGGATGGGAGACAAGGACTAAATAGAAAGGGGATGAAGGAAGTTTTTAGGGAAAAGGAACTGTTCTCTACAGTGCCACAGTTCAGGAGTGACTGGGCAGTGGGAACTGAGGGGAGAGGAGGGTCTGAGGGGTGAGAGGGACAGAGAGAAGGGCTGGGGAAGCAGGGGTGAGGAAAAGGAGAAGAGGGGTAGCCTAGCAAGGGGTTCTTTGCAACCAGTGTTTCTCTACTGGGTAGTGTGGTAGGTACACGACTATAAATAATTACCGATATTCACCAAACAGTGCAACTAAAACTGGTGAATTTTGTTACACGTAAATGCCCTAATTAAAAAAAAAAAAAAAGAAGGAGGAAGAAGGCAAAAATAAAGATCATCAAAACCATAAAATTCATTTCCTTGGGGCTTGCACTACATATAATTTTAAAGGAAATTGGACAGGCTGAAAGGAAATGATGGTAGATGTTGACCCAGATACACAGAAAGGAACAATTAAAAACAGAAATGAGGCACATACACATAGCACATACACACTCACTCAATTTCCTGAAGACATATGGCTGCTTGTCTAAAACAAAAAGTGTTACATGGTATCATTGAGTTTATAATGTATATTGATATAATATATACAATAATAATAGCATAATGGTGGGTTCAATAAAACTACGCTGTTACCAATGTCCTTTATTTCCCTGGACATAGTTTAATATGACCTGAACTTCGCTGTCAAAAGTCAAGGAATGAGGTTTTCATTCTTACAACAATAAAAAAATTAGTGTAAAGAAATATAGCTAAAAGCCACCAGGTTAATTAAAACCATCAACTAAAAAATGTTTACTTGACATATATGAAAGTAGCAAAGGAGGAAATGAAACAAAAATATATGAGACAAATTGGAAACAAACAGCAAAATGGTAGCCCGAAATCCAACCATGGTAAGCGAAGAAATGACACGGCCTGAGTCACATTAGCAGGACTGGTGAGCACCGTGGGGAGAAGAGACATGGGCAGGAAGTGAGGGACGGTGTTAGTGCCACACTTCAGGAGTGACAGGTGGCAGGGACTAAGGGGAGAGGAGGATGTGAGGGATGAGAGGGGCAGAGAGAAGCAGGAGGGGAGGAAAGGGAGAGGAAAGAATTCTAAAGCAGTGCCAGAGCCTAGCGGGGGTTCTTTGCATTCGGTATTTAATACATCTTGTGGGAATGCCTAAAAACTAATGGCCTCCTCATGATTAAAAAAAAAAGGTTACAACAATACCAAGTGTCCAAATAAAATATGCACACTGCTTAGATGTGCCTCGTTCACCAAAGCAGGCAGCGCTGGAGCGCCGGGGAAGAGCATTGGGACTGCCTGGAGCACTCGCAATCCCGAGGTGGTGACTACAGGCTCCCGGTTGCGATGTACAGGAACGCACCCTGCTTCTTTGTATTCAGGAGATGTTCTGGACTCACACGGGGACACGCCGGCTAGGGAATGAAGACGATTTTAAATGCAACAACCTAGAGTCAAAGATCCAGTCCAGGAAAGTAAAACTTAGGGGCTTTGAGAGTTTAATTGCAATGCTGTTTTCGCACAGGTCTTTTACTGATTGGAATCCTAATCATTCAGGGATTACCAATATTGTGCTACCTGCTGTATTAATAAACGAAAAGGAAACTCGTCTCCATGAGACTATCAGGTGGCTTCAGACAAAACTTCACCAAGTTTAAAGAGAAAACCCCTCTCTACACCTCCACTCCCAGGGCGAGCTCACTCTCTGGCATCAGGTTCTGTGGTGAGTTTCCCTGTACAGGAGTCCAAGTGGAGAGCCACGGAGTGGGAGACCCCAGTCCCAGATGGGGATTCCAGGACGAGAAGGGAAGGGGAAGGGGCTGGGCACAGCCCAGAGAGATGTGAAGTACCTGACCTGGCAGCGGGATGGGGAGGACCAAACTCAGGACATGGAGCTTGTGGAGACCAGGCCAGCAGGGGATGGACCCTTCCAGAAGTGGGAAGCTGTGGTGGTGCCTTCTGGAGAAGAGCAGAGATACACATGCCATGTGCAGCACGAGGGGCTGCCGGAGCCCCTCACCCTGAGGTGAGGTAAGGAGGGGGATGAGGGTCTCGAATATTCTCAGGGAAAGCAGAAGCACTTCTGGAGCCTTCCAGCAGGGTCAGGGCTGAGGACTGGGCCCAGGGCCCCTCACCTATCCCTTCTTTTCCAGCACCATCTCCCCAGCCCACCATCCCCATCGTGGGCATCAGCGCTGGCCTGGCTGTCCCAGGAACTCTGGTCCCTGGAGTTGTGGTTGCTGCTTTGATGTGGAGGAGGAAGAACTCAGGTAGAGAAGGGGTGAGGGGTGGGGTCTGGGTTTTCTTGTCCCACGGTGGTTTCAAGCCCCAGGTAGAAGCGTCCCCTGCCTGGTTACTGGGAAGCACCATCCACACATGGGCCGACCCCAGCCTGGGGCCCTGTGTGCCAGCACTTGGTCTTTTGTGAAGCACATGTGACAATGAAGGACAGATCCATCACCTTGGTGATTGTGGTGTTGGGGTCCTGATTTCAGCATTCATGAGTCAGGGGAAGGTCCCTGCTAAGGACAGACCTCAGGAGGGTAGGTGGTGCAGGACACACACCTGCTTTCCTTGTTTTCTGATCCTGCCTGGGTTCTGAGTCATAATTCTGGAAACTTCTCTGGGGTCCAAGACTAGGAGGCTCCTCTAAGATCTCATGGCCCTACCTCCTCCCTATTCCCTCACAGGACATTTTCTTCCCACAAGTGGAAAAAGAGGGAGTTAATCTCAGGTTGTGTATAAGTGGTGGGGGCAGGCGTGTGGAGGAGCTCACCCACACCATAATTCCTCCTGTCCCACATGTCCTGCAGGCTCTGACGGGGTCCTGTGTTTGTTCCACTCCAGGCCGCAACAGTGCCCGGGACTCTGACATGTCTCTCATGACTTCTAAAGGTGGGACTCTGGGGATCTGAAGTGGGCAGGGTTAGGGGCAGAGGGGAGAGGACTGGGTAAGGGGGATTCTTTGATTGGGACATTTCTAGTGTGTGGCTGTTCGGAGTGTCATCACTTACCATGACTGACTTGAATTTCTTCATTGTTTTCTGTAGCCTGAGACAGCTGCCTTGTGTGGGATGGAGATACAGGATTTCTTCACACCTCCCCTTTGTGACTTGAAGAGCCTTTGGCATCTCTTTCTGCAAAGGCATCTGAATGTGTCTGCGTCCCTGTTAGCATGATGTGAGGAGGTGTCCACCGTGACCCCTGTCCCCACACTGACCTGTGCTCCTCCCCAGTCATCTTTCCTGTTCTAGAGACTCAGGACTGGGTGTCTCCATCTCTGTCTCAACTTCATGGTGCACTGAGCTGCAGCCTCTTACTTCCCTACTGAAAATAAGAACCTGAATATAAATTTATTTTCTCAAATATTTGCCATGAGAGGTTGATGGGTTAATTAAATATGTCAATTCCTAAAATTTGAGTGAGGAAATAAAGACCTGAGAACCTCCCAGAATCCACATGTTCACTGTGCCAAGTCTGTTGCAGGTGGGGGTGGAGAAGGCTGTGAGGAGCCGAGTGTGGACGGGGCCTGTGCCCAGTTGTGGTTCAGTCCATCATGGGCTTCATGTGGTCAGTCTTCAGCTGGGTTAGCTTCATGGCTCCACTGTCCTTGTCCCTTCAGTGGAAACTTGTCCAGCTGGAGCTGTGACCACAGAGGGTCAGACATCGCCCAGGGCCTCCCCTGCACACAGGAGTCTCTGTGCTTTCTGAGACAAATGTTCAGACCCATTCAGCTCCTGCCCTTCTTCCAGGGCTCCTCTTCTGCTCTGCTCTCTTGCCCTCTCTCCCTGCCCTGGTTCCAGTGATCTTGGTGCTGGCTCCAATACCCAACTCATGAATCTAATAAGAGTCTAATTTAGATTTAGATTTGTTTGAGAAATTGGGCCCATCCATGAGGACTGTTCTTTCCTGAGGAGAGAAGGCTGATGGTGTGCTGCAGTGTTGTGGGGGAGGGTTGGTGTCGGAGGAGACATGGGGGAAGAAGGACGCACAGACAGTCCTGCTGAGAAAAGCACAGGTGGCCTCGAGGTCATTGTGAGGGGACCTTGTTATGTATCTGCCACAAAATGGCATTTAGAACAGGGAGGTCCCCTGCAGTGATCACTCATTCAACTGTCCTTGGTTGTCAGTCAGACACAGGACAGAATGGTTCTGCATCTGGTGAACATCATTGAAGTCAAATGAGAAAAATCTTTTACCTTGTGGAGCATGTGTTCCAGTGGGAAGAGGCAGATGATGGATACACTGTACTCACAGCAAAGAAGAAAGTGCTAGAAGGTGGTGAGTGCTGTGAGGCAGGCGATCCAGGGTGTGGGGAGTGGGGACAGGGAAGGCGGCTGTTGTGCTGGGCAGACAGAGTGTGCCACGTTGCAAAGGTGACCTTTGAGGAAAGAGTTGGCCACGAGGATGTCTGGGGAAGTCCTTTCCCTGCAGGGGAGCCTCCAGTTCCAATGCACTAGGGCAGGAGAGTGTCTGTGTTCCCAGAAGAGGAAGGAGCCCAGGAGGGCTGGACAGAGAGAAACTGAGGTGAGGGCAGAGGGACAGCCAGAGCAGGTGGGCCTGCAGGGAGTGGGGATGCATCTGACATTTGCTCTGGGTGAGCTGGGGCAGTAGAGGACAGCTTTGAGCAGAAGAGGCACATGGTACAACTTCTTTAAATGATCTCTGACTGCTATGCTAAGAACAAAACTGAGAGGTGAGGAACAAGAGAGGCAGGAGGGAAAATAGGAAGTGAGTGTAGTATTCCAGGCTGGAGATGTCATTACCTTGACTAGGGTGTGAGCAGGGGAAATAGTGAGCCGTGAGGGGATTCTGGATGCATTTTAAGATGGACCAAGAGCACTTGCCAATGGATTGTATCAGTGGTGAGAGGAAGGTGAATCAAGGACACTCATTGTTGTAAAAGGGGTGAGTAGACAGAAGGGTGGAGCTGCTGTCAGTGGATATGGGGAGGCTCTGGCAGGAGGGGATGGAGGAGGGGACATCCCAGACACTCAGTGGAGGAAATATCTGCTAGGAATGCAAGTGAGGGAGCTCGCATGTCAGTTGGACAGACAATTCCAGAGATTAGGGGAAAGGAGAAATATACTGGGCTGGAGAAATAGATTTAGAATGTGACGGCATATAAATGATACTTAAAACCTCAAGCATGGATGAAGGCACCAAAGGAGTAATCCGCTGTGGAAAAGAATGAGTGCAAGGACTGAACACTGGACCTCCAGTTCTAAGGGATCCCATCAGACCGCACCCAGAGCAGACTGCATAGTTCTGACCCCACGTCCAGAGGACACTTAGACAAGGGATTTCCTTGTGCACAGGAATCACCTGGAAGTGGTGCTGAGATCCAGGAAATCAGTAGCTGAGTAAGAGATTCTGGATTTATGGCAAGGCTGGAGCTCATGTTACTGGTCTCCAGATCCAGAACACCAGGATCCCACGTGTCTGAGAATTAGCCTCACTTGCAGCATTTGTTATATAAGTGATTCCTTGGCCTTGTGCAGAATACTCTGAGACAGGTGTTCTGGGAAGCTGCCTGAGTATTTTCTTTCTTTCTTTCTTTTTTCTGGAATAAATGTGGTATTTTATTTTCTGGATTACAAAGTGAACAAATACTTAGATACTATTATTTCTTTACCCAATGCTTTTGATTTCTAAGCACTTTTATTTAAAAAAAATGTGAATTATACAATCGCCACCTACACATGCACATGGACACGCGCACGCACAGGCACATTAAATACAACTTTGCCATGACAGCTCAGCATACTTCACAATTCTTAACACTATTCTATGTGGAATACAAAATGCCTTTTTACCTGAATTAGCATGCATTAAAAATTTTAGTATATGTGAAAATAAAAATTATAAATCAGTAGGAAAAATGTTAGGGTAGAAACATCAGCAGCCAGCAAGGTTAGTAGAGATGTTGTCTGCATTTATTTTCTACCTTTATAAAACGAGGACGTACTAACAGTCTTAGGCAAATGGTAAAGTAACATATTTTTGCCCTGATGCCTTTGTCACAGGCCATGAGATAACTGCTATGTGTTTAGTCTCAATTTCCTGTTTGCAAGAAAACATTAATTTAGTTTTCTACTCACTATACAATTAGGTTGTAGGGATATAGACATCTCATTTGAGTGATCTGAATTTTTCATCTTTATATCTAAAAATTAACCTGAAAATAGTAGAAGCAGAAAACACTGATTTAAAATGCTACTGTAATAAAAATATTTATAAACATTTCAGTATTTTGAAGTATATTCCTTTAACTTCAAGAATCTTGAATTTCCTTGCTAAAAGGATTTTTTTCCTCAAAGATTCCTTTTAGGCTTACTTTGGTGTTCAAGATCTCCAATTATAAATGTAGTCTCTCATCGCCACAGTCTGTAAAGATGGTTTCCCAAGTAACGGTATTTCACCAAGTTGCTCCAGAGTCTTAGGGTGAACAACCTCCGTATCAATTACTTTGTCCACTGGCAGGCAGATGTTAAATATAGCAGTTGGTTCATGTGGATATAGTAGCACAGAGAAATGCCTGCTCTGTGAAGATTTGAGCAGCATGGTCAGTGAATGCAGGCAATGAGGCATGATAGGACCTGTAATCTCCAAACTAAATTGGTCTCTGTATCCAGAAAGAGCTTGTGTCTTCACATTTACACTTCATGCCTTGAGCATTTGCATTGTGGCACCTTGGAAAGCAACAAGGGGTAAGAGCATTGGAGGAAGTCCTGTCTGTGGACCTGAGGTAGCAACTAAACTCTTACAGTTGATCCAAACAAAATTGAGCAATGTAAAGGTGTTGATTCCTTTCACCAACACAACAGACTCAGGTCTGTGATCCATTTGTACTTCATGTTTCTCTTTACGAACCTTGATAGAAAGTATGTCTCGCTTTTTAATTTCATCTTGCACTCCCATCTCTTCCAGCCAGGAAAAACTTTCCTCTTCATCCTTATCACTGATGGCTTGCTCCTCCCCATATCCGAAGCTTGTTCCAGATGCTGTCTCCTTTTTGTGGCCACTTTCTTTTATTAAAGGCAGAGAAAATTCAATACCTTTATTTCTCATAGCTTCTCTGAAACCTCGAGTTGTAGGAGATACAAGAGCTGTGATTAAGTCATTTCGAGCTAATCCTGCTGCTCAAACAGGACAGTAAACTAATAGGTACAAACGTAGAAATAGGGGCAAAGTTTTGTCTTCAGCAGATTATATAGAGAAGCAAAGCTCACAGACCAGTCACTCATTAAAACATGCTGCAGGGTTGCATCATTTGACCAAGGACTTGTCTTTCCAGTCATTTTTCTCTCAGCTCCAATACGAGGGAACAGTGGTAGCCAAGACAAAGCAGGGTGGAGCCAATAGACAAGGCTCTGCTGGAAGGTACAACGGAGCTTGGTGGAGAGTTTGGGATCCTGTATGCTTTTAGGCAATGTAACTTCTATTGCTCTGCAATGCTGGACAAGACCTTGAGCCTCTTCCGTGCTTTCAAATGATCTGCCCAGGTAAAGTGTTCAGAAGAGGCGAAAATGTATCGGGTTTTAATACTCCAGTCCACAGGTAACTTAGTACTTTTTGAGGATGGACTATCAGACTCGGAGAATGATACATGTGGAGTCTGGGGTAATTCAGTAACAATTGTTCTTTCAGGAAACTTCTCTTCCCATAGCACATCGTTTTCTTGTTTAGAATCTAAAAACTGGCCCAGCCCCTCCGGCTGGTCACTGGCAGGCCCGTCTGGGGGCTCCGCAGTGACCTGTGGTCGGTTGTCCAGCTGGGCGAAGGGGTTCCCCCATGCCGCTGCCCCTCGCGGCAGGGAAAGGGCGAAGGGGCAGCCCAGCTGTGGCAGCTCACAGGGCGTGGAGGCAGCGTCCCCACAGCTCCAGGGCCTTTTCCGTGGGAGCTGCACTACCTTGGGCGGCTTTTGGAAGTCCGGTGAGTAGCCGGGCAGGGAAAGGGCAGTGAGGAGAGGCGGAGGACTCGCTGCCTCAGTATTTTCTAATCCCCCCACCAGCAATCCTGTTGCTCAACCAGATTGGGAACCACGGAGATCAGAGATCAGAGTGCCCAGGGTGGGTGGACCGGGTGGGTTTTCAAACCTCGTTTAAAAGAGTATTCTTAGGCCGGGTGTGGTGGCTCACGCCTATAATCCCAGCACTTTGGGAGGCACAGAGGGG